AGGAATGCCAAAGCAAGAAAGCCTAGACCCAGAGCTTAGCATTCTGATGGGGAGACAGGCAAACCTCGGTAGAGTGTCGTTTGTGCTTTGATAGAAATGTGTGTTCTGGGGTGAGCAAGAATGGGGGAGAAGTATTTAGGTTAGAGTGAGATTTTTGTTGGCTGAGATGACTCTTGCAATACTGTTCGAGTATAAGAATCTTCTCTGCTGAGGGAACAACATTGGGGAAGGCACAGAAGAATGAAATAGCTTTTTCCAAAGAGAAACTGGGAAACTTGAAGTTGGTCACTATAATTGGAGCATATGATACTTGTGGGTTCGTGGCAATAGATGAGAACAGAGGGGAACATGTGGGCCAGATTACAGCACATAAAGGTATTAGGAGCCAAGCCTTATCAAGGAAGTTATAAAGAGCAGGGACAGGACACAATTCACTTCATTCTTTCAGCAAATCATTATCGCATGACTACTGTGTGTTAGGTACTTTGCTGGCCCCTGGAAATACATTGAAGGTGCTAGAAAGTGCTCAATTTCTGGATGTGTCTTAGAAGTATAGCTAATAGGATTTGCTGACAAGCCAGATGAGGGGTGTGAGAGAAAGAGGGAGATAGAGTGGTGGCAGAATCTTTGGCCTGACCATTATAATTTTTTAGTGTTGGTGACTCTCACCAACAAGAGGGTAGGATTGAAGCCGTACCAACATCTGAATCTAAGGATCAGTCAGTCTCTGGTGATGCAAGAATCCCAGCTCTGGAGAAAGCCCCCTTTCCTTGAGTATTTCTGGGAGTTCTCAAGGGTGTCTTACATGTGCCCATGAAAATGAAAGTCCTGGCTGCAACTTACAGTGGCTGCAGTTGCTAGAGCACCACAGACCTATTTCTCTCTCTGGAGCTAAGCTAAGACTTTCTTATTGGTTTTTTAACACATAGATTTTTACTGAGTTGTAAGTACTACATATATGTGTATATATATATATATATATGTATATACATATATATTTTTTACTGATTTGTAAGTACTATATATATATGTATATACATATTTACTGAGTTGTAAGTACTATATATATGTATATACATATGTATATGTGTATGTATATATATACATATATACACACACACACAATTTTATACTATTTTTTTGTTGTTTGTATCATTATAAAGTCTTTAAACTTACTGGTAAAAGTTGTTTAAAATTACTTTCAATGGATAGACCGTACTTTATTCAGCAGTTCCTTATTACTGAACATTTTTATGTAAGGTAATAATCCCTAATAAATTTGTGTATAAATTTGTAATGATGTAGGCGATGGTTCCTGAAACAGATTTCTATAAATGAAATTACCCGAATAAAATTTAGTGATTATCTTCCTTTGAATCCAAATTAAGATTCAATGCTATCTGGCTATGTTGGCAACGGTTACTAGTCACGTATAAGTTATCTCTTGCCACATAATAAATTACCCTAAAACTTAGCAGCTTAAACCAACAGATGTTTCCATCTCACAGTTTCTGAGGGGCAGAGAGGCATTTAGAGGAGCGATTCTGGCTCAGGGTTTCTCATGTGGTTTCAGTCAAGCTCTCAAGTGGGGGCCATGATCACCTCAGGGCCTGACCGAGCTAGAGAATCCACTTCTAAGGTGGCTCATCCACCTGGCTGTTGGCAGGTCTCAGTTCCTTGCTGGCTGTTTGTGTGTCCAGAAGCTTCCCTCAGCTCCTTGCCACATGGGCCTTTCCACGAGGCAGCTCACAGTATAGCAAGCTGCATCCCCCG